CCCTTCGACGCAGCGCAGTGAAGACACTGGAGTAAGTTGACCTAAGCTATATCAACTCCAGAACTCAGGTCAATTTATCTGGTAGTGAAGACAAGCCCGAAGGAGTGTGTTTTTTTTTTTTTGTTTTTTTTGTTTTTTTTTTTCCTCTCTCTCTCTCTCTCTCTCTCTCCCCCTCTCACAATAGGCTTAACATCTCTGAAAGCACTTATTGCATGGCCTCTCAAACTCTTTCCATGGAGAGTTTCATGCTGGGTGTTTAGCACCTTTTGTCATAATGTAATTGTTAGTTGATAGATAGGCGGCACTAAGTTCTCTCTAAGCTGCACCGCTACGTGGCCGCCTATTAAGCACTGCACAGGTGCTCAGGGCTGCGGCAGGGAGAGATGCCTCTCCCCAAGCCCCAGACCTGCTGTGGCATCCCTCCCCCAGCCCAGACCTGCTGCAGCCGGGGGACAGGCACCCCTCCCCTGGCCCCGACCCAGTCTGGCCTGGACCTGCCATGGCTGGAGGAGAGGCTCCCCTCCGCCCCAGCCCAGGTGCTGCTGCGGGGGAGTCCTCTCTCCCCACTGTAGCCATGGGGAGCCCCACTGCATCCCAACCCCCCCACCCCAGAGCCTGCACCCCCGCCAGAGCCCTCACCCCACAACCCTCTGCCCCAGCCCTGAGCCCCCTCCCACACTCCAAACCCCTTGGCCCCACCCCACCACATGGGTGGGAAAAATTAGAGGGAACACTGCCGCCTATAGGTTGCCCAGCACTTTCCATTGTCAAACTAGGTTTAAATTTTCCATTCCAGCTGACTTGTTGAGGCTGATTTTTTTTTTTTTTTTTGTAATTCTGTTAAAAATAGTTAAATTGTTTTCAAGACTGAGATTAAGGGAAAAAAAGACACTGTCTTGCCCACTGTTAAAAATTTGTACAACCATTTCATTGAGAAGCTCTAGCACCTCCATGCTTTGGAATAGGGACCTGAAATTTGGCTGGGGCACTGGGTCTGTGGTCAGCTACATGCCTTTTGCCACTCTTGTGAAAATATGCCCAACTTGGGCTAAAAGTTACATGCCCCTGAAAAATCACCATTTGCACATGCTCAGTAAAGGTTTGTTAGAGGCCGGTAGCTAAATTCTCCAACCATTCTCTGGGGACTGACCGTGTTCCTTCCCCACACAGTTCCTGCATGCCCCTTACAATGTGCTCCAGTCCCACAGAGCACACTGAGCACACTATCACAATCAGTAACTAGTTCACTCATTTGGTTGAGGTCTGTGCTCTTGATTGAAATGGCCCAACCCCGCTGATCACCCATGGTGAGGTGTGTGTCATTGTCATTCCTTCAGTCTACTTAAAAAAAAAAAAAAAAAAAGTTACATACAAAAAACTACATTAAGAGTGTCTCAAAAATTAGGATTGCCAGAGTTAAGGTTAGCTGTGCAACCCTAATTCAGCTCTTTGGTGTGTGTGTGTTATGATACAGTCTTTAATTACAGGATCACATACTATGTGTTTCCATAGGATCCCAGCCTTATTCAGGGCCCAGGATATATGGTACTCAAGGAAGGAATCAGAGTTATGTAGTATATGACACTGTTGTCTGTATGATCTCTGCCTCATATAGGCTCTGATCCTACAAACACTTACACACGCACTTAACTTGACTATTGTGAACAGTCCTCCCCCAAAAATCATTGGGACTGCTCATGAGGGTAAAGAGCATGCATAAGTATTTGCAGGATTGAGACCGGTTATGTTATAGAGCTCGAGAACAGGAGCAGCTAACAGGGAGGGAGTTTTTAGCGAGGAAGTGGGAGAGCTAGATACATCTGATTAACATTCTCTCAACTTAAGGCAATAAACCATCCCTCTCCATAGAAACAAAACAGAAAGAAAACCCAACATAAAAAGCTGCAGGAGTAAAAGAGAGACTGCAGGCAGAAGTCCAGCAACAGAGTGGGGGGGCTATCCAGTTTATTGCACCGAATGCATCATGTAAGATTACGTGCCTTATGGGGGGGGCATGGCGTATGTGTTCATTCAGTGCAAAGAACTCTTGGTCCTCAGAGACCAAGTACGGGCCCTGGAGACCAGAATGGCTGAACTGGAGAGCTAAGGAAGACTGAGAGGTACATAGAAGAGACTTTCCAACCCACCATAGAGTGGTCCCACCCCTAAACTGACAGCCGCTGAGGAGGAGGATGAAAGTCTCAGGAAAGGAGAACATCAAAGTGGAATGGAGGGAAACGATCCCATAGTTGGGACCCTCCCACCAGATGATGTCATGGTATCCTCTCACACTGAAGATACCTCTCCAGGGGAGGGAACGCTAGTTATTAGGAAGAGACAGGTCATAATAATGGTGGAGTTGATCATTAGAAACATAGATAGCTGGGTTTGTGATGATTGGGAGAACCACATGGTGAATTGCCTGCTGGGTGCGGAGGTGGAAGATCTCTTGAGATATCTAGACAGGGTTATGTGTAGTACTGGGGAGGAGCCAGTGGTCATGATACATGATACCAGGGTACAAAATAATGTGGCATTGCTGCTGATCCCTGTCATACCCCTTTGTCTGTATCCCTTGTGCAATCCGCTTGCAGATGTTCACATTTCCATGGCTGGTCTGTAGCTCTGCTTGCACAGGCTCGTCTCCTCAGAGGCCCAGGAGATCCAAAATCCTGCCTACCCAAGGTAGGAACTCATCCAGCGCATGGAGCTGGCATGGTGAGTTGCACACTACAGGGGTGAGCTGCTAGATGTGTTTGCCGAGGTGGGCAGTCAGGAAAAGACATTTCAAAAACATGCCAGGGTTTTAAAATGGTGTGTATGTGACTTCCAGTCTCTGTGACCCCGTGGCAGTGGAGTTGAAGGTAGTGACCAGAGCGGCCACTGTTGCAGGGAATGGGACATTGTGGGACAGCTGTCAGGGTCAGCCCAGGTCCTGCAGTGTTTATCCTCTCAATATGTCAACCTTGGTAGTTGAACCTTGGCTCTGCACCATTCAGGAAGGCGATTTTACTGTGCAGCTGCAACAGGGGGCTTATGTCAACCAGAGACAAAATTGAGTGAGCAAGCTGACTTATATCAACCTAACTTTGTAGTGTAGGCCAGCCTTAGATACTGGAACAGCTATTATCAGTGACAAAAATGGGTAAATGAAAATATTTGTTAACAACATGATGACTTCAGGCCTAATGCAAAGCCCACTCAAGTCAATGGAAAGACACGAATTGATTTTGAGAGGCATTGGATTAGGGTGACCAGATGTCCCATTTTTATAGGGACAGTCCCGTTTTTTGGGACTTTTTCTTATATAGGCGCCTATTACTCCCCACCCCGTCCCATTTTTTCACAGCTGCTCTCTGGTCACCCTACATTGGATCAAACCCCCAGATAGAAGTTGTTATTATTAAGGCCTCAATCCTGCACTTTACAATGTGAAGTCAGACTGCTACCCCTATGTAGAGCTCCACTTATGTCAGGCTTCTGCACTAGTGCTGTAAGTTGCAGGATCAGGGCCTATATCAATAACAGAACATTAACACTTTAATAAGTTTTAAAAAAAAATGTTATCTAGACTTTAGATTTTGCTACAGTCCTGAAGTGGTTTGCTGATTTCAAAATTTAGTAATTTATTTGCTAAAGAGAAGCAAAAAATAAGTTAAACTCATCAAAGTATTTCTTAAAAGGGTCCACTTACCATTATAACACAGTAAGTAACAGTTTACATGGAAATTCAACCAACCAACCAAATCAAACACTGTCCTCAAAGAGTGAATGCTGTAATTTAGGAAGGCTACAATGTATTAGTTTACACATTACAAAGATTTTTGATCCCTGTTTTATGAGCAAGTGCTCCATGTATATAAACACACACACACACACACACACACACACACACTTTATAAAACAAAACACAAGAAAAAAAGTTTTCTGTCCCTTCCATTCTTGCTTTTCTTCCTAGGGAAGCTAATTATTCTCTCCCCTGTGCTCCTGACTACCTCTCAAAATACACATTTTTGAAGGTAAATGCTGGCGCTAATATAATCTTGACAGCAGATAAGAATCACATGGAACACAGCTCTTGCAAACAGTAAATATTTAGCACTGGAAAAATACACCAGTGGTTTAAACAGACCTATCATATCCCAGTTTTGCTAAAAAATAAAGGTAATTTTGCTAAAGCCCATTTATCAGCTCCTAGATACACCACATTGACTCCTCTCCATAAATACCATGGATTAGATCAAACAGGATAAAATAACAGTTCTTTAATTGTAATTTAAGATGACAAGCCATGAAGCAAAGAATCAAACTCTGAACACTTCACAGGAACTTCTAAACCTGCTTGGAATAACCAGAAAAATCCAGCCTCTACATGGAATTGTTTATTTCCCTTTTTAAAATCACCTCTTAACCCCTTTGATTTCCCAACAAGGCAGCTGTACTACCTATCCCCTCCTTGAATAACACAACCTGACTGTTACAATAAACGGGCCAATAGAAGAACACGTCTCTGAATCAAGGCACAGCGACACCGAATCAACTCTCTGAATACCTGATTCATGATCAACTTTAACCTGTCAAACCACTTGGTGGGTCCAGCCGCTGGGCTGCTTGTTCCCCTTACAGATCATCTGGATACCCTTGAAATAATGAACCCCACTACGTGGCTCCAACTCCAAGCCACGGAGAGACGCGTCCTGATCTCCAAGACGCTTTCCAGCTAGTTAGTAAGTAAAGTCTGAGCGTTTCAAACCAGACACAGGCAGCCACCTCCCCCCCCCAGCGCATCTACACAACAACAGTGTTTCAAGGAAGACAACAGCAGCTGCAAGTGACTTGCAAGCCCTCATTCGCCGCTAGCACACGCTGGGCTGCACACACACCCCCCCCGGGGGGCTGGATACACCCGCAGCTTTTCAGCGCAGCCAGCCCAGGGACCTGCCCACGAAGTCCGGGGGTCTCTGGCAGCGCAGCCCCGAACCCACGCAGCACTCACTCACCCAGCAAGAGCAGCCGGTGGGTCTGCTTGTACTCCCGCTTCTCGGCTTTCAGCGTCTTGTCGATGCTCTTGCTCCTTTTCTTGTCCGCCTTCTCCTTGGCCACCAGCTCTTCCCGCAGCCTGTGGAGCAGCTGGGGGTCCGCATGCTCCAGCTGCCCTGCGTGCGGCTCCCCCTCCCCGCCGTAGGCGATGGAGGGGTGGGCTCCGATCAGCCGGGCTCGCAGGCTGTAGCACATCCCCATGGTGCAGAGCTGGAGGGTCCCCGTCTCCTGCCCTTTAACAAGCCCCAGGCATGTTCCCCAGCTGGGCGCCTCGGGAGCAAGTCTCTGGCTTGGGGATTCTCCCTGTGGCCTCTTAAGGTGGAACTGCTTCCCCTGGACTCAGGAGCACATTTTTCCCTCCCCCTTTGGGTTCCTTTTTTTTTTTCTGTCCACACTCATAAGGGGAAATATACACGTGATCCAGACATGGTTACCGTATTCTCCAGAAAACCCAGGCGGGGGAGATACTGTACTTTTTCTTTTTTTCTTTTTTTTACAATGGCTTTGCCTGCTGTGGGTGGTGCTGGGTTGTGTGTCTCACTGTCTCCTTCACCTCCTCCTCCATTAGCTAAACATCGGCCACTCTTCGCTTTGAGGTTGCTTGGGAATTGACTCCAAGGGCTGTTCGAAGCTGGACAATCCCACTGAGGGAGATTTAAAATAAATACGATGGCTAAGATTTGTAAATATCTCATGGAAACACAGGAAGCAAAATCATTTTTAACTGAGAAAGCTTCATCCAACTCAGGCACTTCAGAGCCCTTCCTACTTTAAAGGGACACTGTCAGATTAAAATCAAGTATTTTTAAATAACCACAACTCCTTTCTTGGGCTATTGCTAACACCTGAGCTATCAGAACAGGCCAGTACAAGTCTGCCCAGAAGTGTGTATTATTTTATTGTGCTGGCTCAGGGGGGGAAAAAAATCCTAAACGAATAGACAGTTGAATCTCTGTCTTCTAATCAGCCTTGGCTTTTGATGAGTGATAACTTTTTGCATCTGTAGCAGTTCACTTATTGGATAATATAAAGGCAAGAATTATTTGAGGACAAATAGATCCCTGTCTTCAATGCATATTAGGGAGAAAGATAGATATTTATGGGTACTATCACTTTTCAGTGGAAGATTACATAATTGGTAGCTTTCTCATCCTGTGTACCCCTTTTCTAGCCATGTACTGTCCCACAACCCCCAAATGTATCAACAATAAATCCTATGCCCACTCCTCAACTGGTGTAAATCCATGTACATTTGCAGTTCAGGATCTGGTCTGTTTTTTAGTGGCAAGAATTTTAAAAATCTAATTTGTTGCATTTTTTTGCTGTTTCTTTACTCTTTGATTATTATTAGTTATTTGCATTGTGGTTACATCTGTAGGGGCTTAGTCTCACTACGCTAGGCACTACACAAACATACAACACAGGGATGGTCCCCGCCCCAAAAAGTTTTATATTATATGGCCCAATACTGTAATTCCTACTCATGTTATTCATCTCACTGATGTCAGTGGGATGGCTTTGAATGAGTAAGAATTGGGCATTAGGGAGACATGCTTCTTCCAGTTACTCTCCTATGTCAGGGCTTGTCAACATGAGTGATTCCTCCCCCCTCCCCCCCGGCCCAGATTAGGTTTGCATGCACGAACAGTTTTGGAAAAGTTATTCTGAAATAATTGCATCCACATGTCTGGCTGTTAACTACTTCCCTCCGAATCAGTATACACATAGTACTGACTTTTTTCCAAAATAAGTGCTCAGAATTCTGACTAGGTCTCCACTGGTGCCTTGTCCTGCTGGTGAGCTCCATGCATGTTGGGATTTTTCTCACCGTGCATTGTGGGACAGCTACCACCTGTGAATTCAGGGACTTGGGGTCACAGTAGCAAATTCCTATGAATCCTCTGCTGGCATCCCATGATTTATCCACCTTTTGTGAATCAGGGCCATTTTCAAACTGCTGTCAGCCAGCACAGAAGGAACACAGCTGTGTGCCACGGTCCAGACATTCATTAATATACAGAGGTTGCTACACATGCATTAGCGATCATGCACCTCGATGGCTTTGGAAGCCAGCCACTGCGCTGCTGAGCTGATTTCGACAGAGGAGAAAGAAATTGAGCAGCTAATTGTGGGAAAAAAACTTGTCATAGAGAAGATTCATTCAAAGGAGAGCTGACATTGACTGCTGGGAAAGGATAATGACAATGCCGCTCAGTATTTGGAGGATCAGACCCTTAGACTGGAAAGAGACTCGTCGTTTTCACTTTCTGTTTCTCTTGATGCTCCATATATTATTTCTGGCAGCATCCATGTGCTAGGCACTGTACAAAACAAAGGAAGTAATAATAGCAAGATTGCTGCAATGTGAACAATGCAAAGCAATTCTTAAAACAGAAATGTTCTTTTAATCCAAGGGCTGTTGTTTTCCCTGATTCTGCATCTGAGTAACTTTATGCACTCGTGTGTATAACTGGAGATCCAGCCCAGGGCCTTTGAGGGGAACTTCAGGGGAGAGAAAAGCAGTTAGGGCTAGACTGACACTTTGCTTGTAAAAGACATGTCATGCAATTGCACTGCCGCAGAAAGAGAGGAAAAAAATTCTGACTCAGAGGTACCCCTCAGAGTTATAATTCCCCAGGAGATCCTCTGATGCACAAGTAGGGGGAACAGCATGTTCCATCAGCCCATTGCTATACACAGCACATTCCCTCCTCTGTGCTCAGTTAGCTCAGCCACTTGGCACAGGTGTGGTGGGCAAAGCCAAGAGTCAACCAAATCCCTGCTCTTCCCTATGCATCTCTGGTCCCTTCCTGTCCACTTGTGTGCTGTGGGGAACTATGACTCCATGGAATCAGCTCTTATCTCGGCAGGGCCGGCTCTAGGTTTTTTGCTGCCCCAAGCAAAAAATTTTTTGGCTGCCCCTCCTCCCCCCAGCCCGGGGCTCTCTCTATTCCCCCCACCCCCCAACTGCACCCTCCTGCAGCCCCAGCCCTGGGTCACTGGTAACTCGCTCCCAGGGTGGGTCATTCAGCAGGAATTTTGGATGTGCACAGAGCACAGACAGGTTTGGTTCCCATATGGTTACAGAACTGCAGTAAAGTAGAACAATTTTCAGCTTGTGTGATTGAAGGATATCTGGATGCATATTATAAGACTGTCCTACATAAATGAGGAAAAGTTGAGGTGCCTTTATTATTCTTGTTCCATTCTTTGTTTCTATGGGGAATTTGCCAATGCAATATCACTGTCTTCCTTTAAAACAAATAAAACTAAAAGCAATGGCTGTTGAAAATAGCAATTCCAGTCCTAATAACCACGGGGAAGCATTCCTTGCTCAATTTATTCTACTTTTTCTACAGCAAGTTACAGTGGATCAGTATATTTGATTTGGGAGAAATGAAGTAACAGCTGCCCAAACTGAGCTTGAGCACTCCTGAATTTTGAGGGTGTTCAAATCTGGAAGGCAGGTGCTAGATTCCCTTTCTGAATATTATCTAAATCTGGAAAAGAAAAGTCAATTTCTGCTTCCATGGCTCAGAAGTGTAAATCCTCCTACGTGCCTGGTACTGTATCTAAAGCTGCCCAGGTCTTAGCAGATTCTCCCCTCCCTTACTTTTCATTTTAAATTCAAGTCGGATCCACGTACCTCCCTTGCTAGGCTTCAGATAGAGAGGTGCACTGTCCATTTAGTCCACCCAATTCTTTCTTTGGGGGAGAGTCCAGGGCTGGGACAACGCGGGGGAGCCCAGGGCTGGGGCAGGGGGCGGCAAAAAACCTAGAGCTGGCTCTGTCCCTACCATTCACAGCAAGCTGCAGCATGAGGTTTCAGTTCCACACTCCTTGCCCCTCCCTTTCCTGTTAATTGCGGCCAAGGGAATGCTGGGAAATGTAGTTCTTTCCCTGTTCCAGGGCTGGCTCTATAGGCAGGGAGCTAACCAAGGAACTACAGCTCCCAGGGCCCCCTGTTGGTTCTCAGCTCCCAGGCTGGATCCCTGCCGCCCCTGCAAATTTGCCGCCCCAAGCAACTGCTTGCTTTGATGGTCCCTAGAGCCAGCCCTGTATCTCGGTGTTTGGGCTTCCTATCTGTGCAAGCCCTCCATGATCATGCAGGGTGTGCACATGGGGGGAGACTCAGCAGCATTGTCTTATGCTCTCTTCCCCTCTATACAGCCATATAGGGCTAGGTTACAGTTTAACGCTTAGGAAATAAGAAAATGTGATTGTAAAACCATAAAAATAGGCCGGAGGAGCCAAGGCCAGTGTAATACCTGAAACAAACTTTAACTTTGTTTTTAAAAAACTGAACTAGATTTCAAGTAGGTGGAGTCCCTTAAAAAAAACACACAGAAACATTTCTACAGATATTAAGGGCACGTGCCGGTTTCAGTGTTTGTTTTTAATGTTGTTCTTATTTAGGTTTATACAGGGGTGAAAGTAACTTAAGGGACTTACCGGTACACAGGACTGGGGTCCTGAGCAATGGGGGGGGGGAGAGGGAACCTCAGGTGGAAGGGGCGGGGCCTTTAAATCCCTGGGCCCCTTAAATTGCCACTGCTACCCCAGAACTCTGGCAGCAATTTAAAGGGCCCGGGGCTCTGGCTGCGGTAGCGGTGGCAGGGAGCCCCCAGCCCTGGGCCCTTTAAATCACTGCTGGAGCCCCATGGTAGTGGTAGCGGTGGTGGCAGCTGGGAGCCCTGGGGCTCTGGCGGTGATTTAAAGGGCCCAGGGCTCCGGCCACCGCCACTATCCCAGGGCTCCGGCAGCGGGGCTCTGGTGGTGATTTAAAGGGCCAGGGGCTCTGGCTGCTGCCGGGAGCCCAGGGCCCTTTTAAATTGCCGGCATGGTCGGCTGTGTACCGGCTCTTGCCAGTACGCCGTACTGTACCGGCTTACTTTCACCTCTGGGTTAATAGTTTAATGTGCTTTATGAATTCCTGAGGGACGCATTTCTGGGCCTAAGTAATGAGAGAGCTGGTCTTCATGATAGTTTCACTATCCAGGAATGGAAATACTATGAGAAGACACAATCTTGCAAAACACACACTCTCTCTCTCTCTCTCAGGCTTTCTTGAGTCCCTGCAGAACCAGATGCATAGCCCTGTCTGAAGTTAGTTTTCATTAAAAAAAAAAGAAAAAAAGAAAATTTGGGGGTTATGTATACTTGCTTCCAGTATCCCTTTACGAACTAACTTCTCTGGGAGCTGGCATTATGATGAATAGGACAAAGGTAAATTTGCAACTAACCCACAAGAGTGGGTTTCTGGAACTCCAGAGCAGGCCACACCCATGTCTTGGGGATGTTGCTCATTTCAAACTGAAGTTTACCTCCATCCGACA